TATATATATATATACATCTATCTATCACAGCCATTGTTCCTATCTATCTATCTATCATTATCTATCGCATCTATTCCTATCTATCTAACCTCAGTCTGTTCAATTATAATATCTATCTATCTATCTATCTATTCTATCTATCTATCTATTCAGTCTGTTCTATCTATCTATCTATCTATCTATCTATTATCTATCTATCTATCTATCTATATATATATATATATATATATTCTTCATATTTATCTATCTATATCTATATATTTCTTCATATCTATCTATCTATCTATCTATCTATCTATATATATATATATATATATATATATATATACATCTATCTATCACAGCCTGTTCTTTATCTATCTATCTATCTATTATCGCAGTCTATTCCTATCTATCTAACTCAGTCTGTTCCTATCTATCTATCTATCTATCTATCTATCTATCTCAGTCTATTCCTATCTATCTATCTATCTATCTATCTATATATATATATATATATATATATATATATATATATATGTATGTATCTAATAGAGTCATATTTTTCCCAAAATGTTGTCTTCAAAATAAGGGTGCGTCTTATAAACTGAAAAAAAAAATACGGTACCTATTTACGAACCTGAGCGATCGATTTTAATGTATGATTTTCTTTCGATTCTAAAAACATCTTTCTTATTTCTGGCTGGACATTTTAAGTTCCAATTACTTCGGACGTTTGACTTGTAGGCATCGTGTATGTCAGTTAGGAAGCCCAGCTCAGGCAAAATATCTCAATTAACTCACAACTCTGCGACGGAGGATAACGCCGGATCAACTGTTGGCTTGTCAATTTGAAATTGCGCCATGGATTTGTGTACAAGCTACAAATAGAAACTTCGAAGCAAACGGCAACTTTGATGTAAAAAGAAGAAAGCAGAAGAAAAAAAAAACATGGTCGAAATCTCGCGAGAGAATTTGATGCGTGCAGAGATTAACGAACGTAAAGAATTGAAAAGTTTTTCGACTTTTTGTGTCCAGGGAGAAATGAAGCCACGTGTATCAAATCCTGCTTAGATTTTCGACAATATAATTAACGGCGTTACCGGGACGAGATTTGAGCTTCTACAAAGTTGGGTTCAAATAAGGGTCTAAAAAAAATCAAGGAGAGAATTAAATGTTTTGCAAAGTCTTGAAGGGAATAAAAGATGAGGTTTATATGTGAAGAAAATAGTTATTTAGTTGTAGGTTTCTTCCCTTTCTATCTGCCTTAATTCTGTTCCTATCTATCTATCTATCTATCTATCTATCTATCTCAGTCTGAACATATATACCTATCTATCGATTTAACTATATCTCTATCTATCTAGCTCAGTTTCTTCATATCTATCTATCTATCTATCTATCTATCTATCTATCTATATATATCTATACCTACCTATCTATCTCCGTTTTTCATATCTATCTATTTATCTATCTATCTCAGTTTCTTCATATAAAATATCTATCTATCTATCTATCTATCAAGTGATGATAAATATCTATCTATCTATCTATCTGAAGTTTCTTCATATCTATCTATCTATCTATCTATCTATCTATCTATTATCTATCTCTATCTATCATAACTATCTATCTCTCTTTCTCTACAAACACATATCTATCTCCGTTTCTTCATATCTATCTATATCTATCTATCTATCTATCTATCTATCTATCTAAGTCTTTTCATATCTATCTATCTCAATCTGTACATCTCTCTCCCTCTCTCCCTCTGTGTGTATATATATATATATATATATATATATATATATATATATATATATATAATGCTAAAAGCATGTGATTGTACGCTTGCTTGCGTGCTTTTGTGGTGCGTCCGTTTTGGCGAATAATGATTTAAGTTAATCTGATTTTGGCGCCTCTATTTTCATTTCCCTTAGTATCTCGTATTTATTTAGTAATAATAGTAAAAGTCTGTGATCGCGTAAAATTTTGGAGCTTTCCTCCTCCCAATTTTTTTCTTCAAACATATAATGAAACTATTTTTAAGTTAAAGACAGCCACAAAGAGATCCCGCTGTACAGTTTGTCCAGTTGTTTGTAGAGTAATTATTTATATTTCAGATTTTTTCAAACTAAAAATATTTTAAATATTCAAAAAACCTTTTTTTTATCATATTTAAAAAATATTTTCAAGTTAATATAATTTTATAATTACTCTGTGCATATCTATCGAATCTATTACCGTCTGCTTTAAATCTATCTATCTATCTATCTATCTATCTATCTATCTATCTATCTATCTATCTCTACATATCTCTCTGTGTATATATATATATATATATATATAACGGTCTCTCCCGACGCTTTCGACGTATGAGGATCTGACACCTTAATTGATTCAATTATGAAATTTTGTGCGATATTCTTAAGTGGCACTGAAGAATATCTTTAAGACCCGCTAGTGATTTACAATTGAGGCCGTATATTGACAATAATGAGGATTGTGAGATGATATCACTGTTACATTGGCTGACCTTTTAGATCTTGCTCTCGCGTCTTGAAGATGATTCCGACAAGCAGATTGAAAACACGTTGTTCTCTCTCTCTCTCTCTCTCCCTCTCTCTCTCTTTCTCTCTCTCTCTCACTCTATATATATATATATATATATGCCTTTGTTTAGATTAATTGAATGAAAACGAATAATTCCGTTATTGTTTATTTCTTTTTTTATCGTATTTTCCCAATGAAACATGACCCATTGCATATGTTAGTACTTCGTATGTCCATTCCACGAAGTCTTTCGTTGCAGATTGACCACAGATTCTCGATTGGATTTAAATCAGGAGAGTTTCCGAGCCAGTCTATTATAAGATTTGATTATTCCCTGTTTTTATTTTTCAGTATCTATCTATCTATCTATCTATCTATCTATCTATGCCTTTCACATAAATGTTTGAATGTTAATTATTCTGACGACTTTTCCTTTTTGTTATATGCACTTTACCAAATTAAGTGCCATACTCATTCACATCTATCTATCTATCTATCTATCTATCTATCTATCTCAGTCTGTTCACATCTATCTCCCTCTGTCACTCTCTGTCTGTCTCTCTCTCTATCAATCTATCTATCTCAGTCTATTCCTATCTACCTTTCTATCTTTCTCAGTCTGCTCATATCTATCTATCTATCTATCTATCTATCTATCTATCTATCTCAGTCTATTCCTATCTATCTATCTATCTCAGTCTGCTCATATCTATCTATCTATTTATCTCTGTATCTCTGTATCTATCTATCTATCTATCTATCTATCTATCTATCTATCTATTAAAGACATTTTTATGTTTAACGTTCTTTTTTATAGATACAAGTATTTAAGTAAATGCTCTGTTTATAATAAACAGTATTAAATAACATTTACCGGCCTGAATGTCCGAGAAATTTTCATAGAAAATATTCGTCCTTTGACAGGATTCGAACCTGCATCCTATACGGAACCGTCATTTACGCTGACGTGCCTTAGGAGCATTCGGTAGACAAGGTCGAATTTACTGCTTATAAACTTCAATTCGACCTTGTCTACCGAACGATCCTTTGTGGCCGATCGGTAAGGCATAATAAATAAATTGTCGAACTTTGTCCATTTCTTAATATCTATCTATCTATCTATCTAAACTATTGTTAGCTGACGTGTTCCGTCCTCTGTCGAACGTTAGTTTATCAAGGCTTTTACATTTTAGAACGTTTCAACTAAATTTTCAACCACCTAATGAATATTCATGGACGATCTCAAATTTAAAAGCCTTGATAAACCAATGACATCCTTTCTCTTGTATTTAAAATTGAGGTTGAATTTATTTCTATGTATGACTAGTGCATTAGCTAAGTTGTTTTTTGTGGGGTCTCCTTTCGTGTTCATAAATGCGTTTTTAAACTTCTACTTGGTTCTCTAATATATTGGGAGGAACAGTTTTGGCAATTTATTTTATAAATGCCTGCTTCAGAAATATTATTGCTATTAGTGTTTGAGGATCTGAGTATATCCATAATAGTTTTGAAAGTGCCTGTGACTATTTTAAGATTATTTTGATGGCATACGTTGTTCTGGTTAGGGGACGTGACAGAGTATAGTATTATGCATCTGTTTTCATGTATTCATAGAAATAAATTCAATCACAATTTTGATTTTAAAAATGCTACACTCATAAAAAAAGAAAATAACTCGCTCACCCAAATATTAATCTACGCCCAGACATTTTTCCCTATTTCACCTTTCTTAACAGAATTACTTCTCTCTCAAACAAACGTACAGAACAGTATGAAGAAATCAAAAGAAAATGGTGGAATTCGTCAACATAACAATAATAACAATATCCCCACACGTGACAGTAAATGACGTAATTTTCAGTTACCAGTATGAAAATAGCGTTCTCTAAATTCTTCCAGTTACTAAGGACATTTTGTTTTTGTTATTATTAGTTACTTTGTTTAAATAAATTCATTTCGTTTTTGCCTTGAGAAAGTCCACATTGGACGAAACGCGTCGGCAACAATTACAGTTTTCCTATTGTCATTTATATTTATAAATATTGTCTTTTCTACAGGTTAACACTGAGAAATTTTCCTATATATATATATATATATATATATATATATATATTGGTCCACCAACTTAATAGAAGTCCTTCGAGAAGAGGCTTCTTCGTAGAAAAGGCGGCATAATGTGACCCCCGTACAAAGTTCAATGTTGCATGAAGTCAAACCAAAAATGAAATATACTGAAAACAAGACAATTTGTAAATGGCATACATATTTCTTTATTCGTCGACAGAAAATCAGCCGATATGTTGCTATAATCTGCAGGTTGCCCCCACCCAAGACCAAAAAAAAAAAAAAAACGGTGTTTTGGGTACAGTTTATTTAATTGCTGGACTTTTTGTTATAGTTATTTGAAACAAAAGCAAAGGATATAAATCTAGTAGCTTAAAACAGAACAAAAACGCAAATGTTAGATGTGTTCAAACTGAAGAACTCTGCCAAAGTTTCTTGGCATTTTTTTCAGTCTCCAAGTTGGATGTTCTTTCTTAAAGAGAACAATCACTTCAGGGTGAAAATTGCGGCATCCTGGAACAACAAATGGCTAAAAAAATTTATATAGGAGTTATTTTTTTTTACTTCATTCATATAGTAAAAACATAGTTTTTTGTTTTTTTTTGTTTTTTTTAGATTTTAGTACATTTTTTTCATCATATACTAAATCTAAAATTTCCTGTTTTCTTTTCTGCGGTACCCTGTATATTAGTGTTGTCAACCTTATTTTTGTAACTTTGGTGAGCACAAATAGAATAACTAAAACTGTGGGGTGGGGGGAACACTTAAAATTTTATTAAGGAAAAATTAGTCATGAAAGCTTAAAACAGGATAACAATAAAAACGTCTTCTGGAATAAGCGTTTATTTTTAAAATATTCGATTGAGAAAAAAAGATTTTACATTTAATAAATTATGGCATATATTCGTTACTTTATGCTACATTTGCAGACATAATTTTGAAGCTAATTTGACTAGAGTAAATGAATATATAAGACGGTCTACAGAATAGCCAGCGCCAGCTAATTTCATACCACGTGTATGATGCGACCCTCTTAAAATTGCCTTCAAAATTAACCCTTCAAAAGACACAAGATACGTGTGTATATACGTTACACTTCTCTTAGCTTGGGGCACAATTGGCTACTTTTGAATGTACACCGGTTGAGAAATGCTGTTCTATAAAAACAAGCATATTTTTACAGATAGGCTACTAGATTGATAAATTTGGTGATCAAACTAAAGAACTCTAGTAAAGTTTCTTGGCTGTTTTTCAGTCTCCAAGTTGGATATTCTTTCTTAAAGAAAACAATCACTTCGCGACATCCTGGAAGAACAAATGGTTAAAAAAAAATTTATATATCAATTATTTTTTTTTTTTACTTCATTCATATAGCAACAAACATAGCTAAGTTTTTATATGTTGTTTTATATACAGTGTAACCCGGATATAAGAGATCCGGATATAAGAGAAACCCGGATATAAGAGAGATTTTCTCTGGTCCCAAATTAGAGCCCATACTTACCTAAACAAAATAGACCAAACCCGGATATAAGATAAACCCGGATATAAGAGACTTCTTCTCCGGTCCCGACAACTCTCTTATATCCAGGTTACACTGTATATATATATATATATATATATATATATATATATATATATATATATATATATATATATATATATATATCATTTTATACGTTATATGTTAGTTATTTTTTTTCATCATATAGTAAATCTAAAACTTCCTGTTTTTTATGGGGTACCATGTATATCAGTGTTTCTCAATATTTTCTTTTTTAATTTGGTGCTCACTTATAGAAAAACTAAAACCCTGGAGGACACTTAAAATTTTGATAAATAAAAATTAGTCATGAAATTTGAAAACAGGAAAATAATAAAGAAGACTCTTGAAATAATCATATATTTTTAAGACTTTACACTGCTTGATGCCTCCAGCTTTTTCAAAAATAAAGATTCTTTTAAATGTAAAAATAATTCATACATTATTACTCTACGGTTAACTTGGTTATACTTGGTTAACTTTCAGGGCGTAACGGTTGAGAAAATTGCTGTTCTATAAAGACAAACAAATTCTTATATTTCTTTTCTCTATAAAACTCTTTGTTATCTATATTTCAAGCACAACCAGATAAACTATGCGATCAAAGCACCAGCCAAAATGTTTGGTTAAAAATTTTAAAAAAAGTAAAATAAACAGAATAAAACTCACAGAATATTATCTATACGTCGTAAATACTGTAAAATAAGCTTATCTAATGTCCATATACAAAACTTATTCAACCTTCACAATGAAGCAATCCCGAGAGAATTAGAAGTCCTACCCGGATTCGTTATTGGCAGCTACAAACTTAACAGCATTAACTCAGCAGATAACAGAGTTTTGATAGCAAACAGAGAAAGAAACTCACACAGAAGTTAGTAAAATGAACTAAGGATTAGACATCAATTGAAAGAAGACAGAATATATGATAGGATACATAGAAGGCAAGAGAGACAGCGGAAAACGGCACATAACCTTCTTAACGGGATTATGTAAAGTGTTAACAAAACAGGAGAGAGAAGAGATCGCAAAAAGACAAAATTTAGTAATAGCTACAAAGGACAGGAAATTGTGGAGAGCCATGACTGTCCACGTCATAAAGAGATACGGCACACAAAGATGAAGAAAAAGAGTAAGAGGAAAGTCGAATTATAAATATCAGTGTTCTTAAATATGTTCTTTCTGTAGAAGTATATATAGTTAGAAATAAAGAGAGGAGTACTGAACTGTTATGTAATAGCAGTCCTCCTATAAGGCAGTAAATGCTGGACAATATCCCCGCAGATGAAGAAGAGACTTGAAGCAATAGAAACAAAGAAAAGAGTACTGAACTGTTATGTAATATCAATCCTCCTATATGGCAGTAAATGCTGGACAATATCCCCTTGCAGATGAAGAAGAGACTTGAAGCAATAGAAACAAAGAAAAGAGTACTGAACTGTTATGTAATATCAATCCTCCTATATGGCAGTAAATGCTGGACAATATCCCCGCAGATGAAGAAGAGACTTGAAGCAATAGAAACAAAGAAAAGAGTACTGAACTGTTATGTAATATCAATCCTCCTATATGGCAGTAAATGCTGGACAATATCCCCGCAGATGAAGAAGAGACTTGAAGCAATAGAAACAAAGAAAAGAGTGATTAGCTGTTATGTAATATCAGTCCTCCTATATGGCATTGAATGCTAGACAATCTCCTCATAGATGAAGAAGAGACTTGAAGCAAGAGAAACAAAGAAAAGAGTACTGAACTCTTATGTAATAACAGTTTTCCTATATGGCAGTGACTGCTGGACAATCTCTTCAAAGATGAAGAAGAGACTTGAAGCAAGAGAAACAAAGAAAAGAGTACTGAACTCTCATGTAATATCAGTCCTCCTATATGGCAGTGAATCCTGGACAATCTCCTCACAGATGAAGAAGAAACTTGAAGCAACAGAAACAAAGAAAAGATGAAGAAGAGTTTTATAAAAGGATGCTGAGAATACAATCAAACGGACATGTGTAACGACGGATTTCTGGAGTCAATGACAACAAAAAGGACAATTATACTTAGCATCAGGAAGAGACGATTGGCATTTCTTTGGCATATTGTGAAGAAAGAGGGCTTGGAATATTCGATACCCACAGGGCAGATTGACGTATGAAAGCAATGCACAGCGTATTTGGCGAGTC